AATTTTTACAAAAACTACTGAAAAATTCGCATAAAAATTATTGATTCCTTTTATATGCCCTCGATGTCCCTCAAAACGCTAGAAATCGCATTTCCAAGAGTTATTTACTAGAGAGGTTTAGCAAGACGATCACGGCAAACGGCAAACGGCAGAAAAGATCACGTGACCTGCTTTTTTGAGTTTAACGTTGCAGTTTCAATGCGGGAGCGGGCTAGTTTGAGGTTGCCATAATCGTGAAAAGCCGCTCTTTCAAATGACTACCAAAAGCACAAGGTAGGGCACGAAATTCTTAGGTCATTGGTTTAGCTCTGCCGTTAGCCGTTTGCCGTTGACGTGATGCTTAAACTCTCTAATTATTTCAAAATTTCCTGGGGAGGTCCAGACTCCCGTAATACTCCCGCCTTCGGCTGTCGTTATACCCCCAGATCCAAAATATGTGTTGCTGTCCCTGACATGTGCGYACTAGCCAAAATGTCTACGCTACGGGTCTGTATGTGCAGACTTCATAAAGCCTTTCACAATTAATTTCATTCCTGAGACTTGTAATGACATGGTAATTTGTTCATCAGGATCTCAATGATTATTTGAATGGTGTACAGGACTACTGTCAAGAGGTAATCTTTTCTTTGTTACTTACATGCAAATACAAGGACATCCTAYATCACATGGTGGACTGCCTTGATTGGACTAGTAGTTAATTTTTTTATTAGTTTTTGAAAGTTGAAACAATTTTTGATATACACTTATCTAGCCTCGTCAGCAAGCAACAAATTATTTTTTCCTTTTGGGATCCCTGTGGTATCGTCTTTTCCTAGCGGGGGACTTGGCAACTCGACAAGAAATGAAGGGTAACAGTCGCTTTCGGTCATATTGAGGAAGACAGGAAGCCCAAGAGTAGGAATATGAGTGGAGGCGGCTGCGTGGGAGGCTAATCCTTATCTTTATGATTCTAAAATGCTCCAAACTAAGTACAAGATATACAGACAATGAGAAAACTTCTAAAAACTTGTGMGACTAGGTAAAAAGAGATCAAAAGGTCGTGGGTTTGGATCCCAGCGAAGTCGAAAATTAATTTTTCCCAATTTATTTCCAAGCTTATTTCTCTATARCTTTCTATTCTATTTCATTTATTTCCTAGTGCCACGAGGTCCACATATTCATATAATTGTATTTCATTAACCGCGAGGCAAGATTTATTTCACCCCATTCCAGTCTGCTTTTAGTCTGACATTATAGCTTAGCTGGTAGAGCATCGGTAGTACAAAT